TTGAAAATTATAATAGTTTAAACATTTAAGATCGTATATGTGAATACATCAAATACGATAAAGAAAACCAAGATCGGTCAAAGAGAATTAGATGTTTCAAATAATATATTCTTATATATTCTTATATTAAATTAATTTATTCCAAATATAATATTGCAAGCCGATAACTTTCAATTTCAACACAATCATTCTGAAACGTTAATAATCCCTTCTAAATCTTGACTGAGATAATATTTTGCAATAAATTTCTTGCTTTCTTTCTTTCTTTCTTTCTTTCTAATCTAATTTAGGGGAATCATATCTGGAATAAATTAATTTAATATGAGAATATGTAATGTATTTCTCCTGTAATCACAAAATCCCGTGCACTACAGTTCTCTGAAGAAGTGAACATCAACTATATAGCAATATCCACTTCTTGCGATATCCCTGATGGAAATAAATCACTGAAATAAAAAAAGTCTATTAATAAAGATTTCGACGATTTCAGTGATTTATTTCCATCAGTGGCATCGCAAAAAAGTGGATATTGTTGTGTAGTTGAATTTCTTCAGAGAACTGTAATGCGCGAGAGCATTTTGCGAGCATTTTATTAAGAAAAAGATCTTCATTATTTGCATATAATTATTTGTATTTTGTTGTGGTTTTTGTATGTACTTAGTACGGAACATGATTATATTTTTATATCCACGAAGTTAATGAATATAAGTAATAATATTTTGAAATATAAGTAATAATATTGTGAAATAATCAATTTCAAAATAAAATGAAATTATCCCAAGAATTACGGATTTGAACATCTAGTGCACGTACGTATAAATACCTCATTAAATTTATCGTGTTCATTGATTTTCATTTTGAAATTTATAGAATTTTTTATAATTTATAGAATTTTTTATAATTTTAATCTTTTATATTGAATCCTTAATGAAATAATATTGAAAGTGAGTCAATTGATATAGTCAATTGATATAGACTTTAATATGTAATTTTCAATAATTATTCGTTATTATAGTTAGGGATACATCGGATCGTAAAATTATCGGATATCGGATATCCGAAAAGAATCGGATATTTAATATTTGGTTGAATATTCGGGAAGGCAATTTTTCGAGTCGGATATCGGATATTTTCCGGATATCCGACTGAATTTCGGGACAATGTCTTAAAAAAGATGCTAAGTAAAAAAAGAAAAAGGGAGTAAAAAAGAAAAGGAATTATAAGGGAAAAAATAGGGAAAAATAGTAATAATAATAATAATAATGATTTTAATGTTATTGGGCGAGTTTAATTATCAATAGAGATGATAACTGTAGAAAAAAATTGTAATTTTGCAGCAATATATAAGATATTATGAATACACATACTTATTTATACAATATTTATGTAATAAAAAATCAACAATTTAATGATATAAAATTTCAATCGGATATATTCTCTAATCGGATACTAACAATATCCAATTATCTAGTCGGATAGTAAAAATGTACCGGATAATACCGAACTTTTCGGATATCCGATGCCAAATTATATTCATTACACTATTGATTATGAATATACATTTCTCCTTTAATTACTTATGAAAAATTTAATTCTACATAATATATATCGTTATAATAATAATAATAGCAATAATAATAACTTTACAAATAATTTCATGTATTTTCTACCAACAGTTGTAGGTTGGATCCTTTTTTCTATTGCTGTCCTTCAAATACCTTTATGGATTATCATTGCGATATTTAAGAAGAGGTCTCTTCCTTTCCGAAAAGTAAGCGATAGCCTCGTTAAATTATAAAATATTATTCCATTTTAATATCATCTACTACTATTACTACTACTACTACTACTACTACTATTACTATTACTACTATTACTACTACTACTATTACTGAGAGAGAGAGAGAGAGAGAGAGAGAGAGAGAGAGAGAGAGAGAGAGAGAG